TAAATATAAGGATGGTTCAGTTGAGTCTGAAATTACCTCTGTCACGCGGAAGCGTAAGAAGTTGCAGACAACTGATTCAAGTGGAAGCGTCAAACAGACTATTCGATTAGAGATACACAAAATGTATACAGAGAGTAAGTTGATGTTCTACTCTGAATATAGAGTTGTTTCAATGTTACTTCATATTAACATTAGCAGTAGATTATTCCGAAAGAATACACCTGATAACATTGGAACTTCTCAGATCAAATTAAACTGTTTTTCATAGTTTAATACTATTTTTTATTTCAGGTCAACACAAATTAAGATGCTGCTATATAGGATTTCTTTCATTCCATAATTTAATGATATTTTTTAGAATTGTTTTCTTGCTTTTCAATAAAGGTACCTGAGTTTTTGGAGTCTTTCATAAGGATAAGTATTCACATTCCCCTCTTTGACGTACCTACACAGTTTGGGTTCAGATATTTGCAGAGCTTCTGTAACTTCTGCTGCATGCTTTATCCTGTGTATTGGGTTTATTGTTTTTCAGATGTTTAGCATTTTGTGTTGTCATATTTTCTAGTGGACTTTGGTACCTCTAAACATGGTATCACTAATTAAACTTCCTATTTAATGTATCATCTAATATTATGCTTGTATAAATTATTTAGAGGGGCAATGTCCCATCTGTCGCCCACCTCTTACTGTTATTCTTCCTTTTTTATATTATTTAGCAGTTTTTGGTAAAAAACCCATTACTACACAGGTAATTGATTAATTAATAGTTAAATTTAATTATGCACGTCCACTTGTGTCAGCTGTCTCTTGTGTGTGATGTTTGTACCTGCGACGAAGCAGCACTGGTGATGACTTAAGGCCGGAAGCACTCGGCGGATTTTCTTAATAAATTATTACACAGAATGCATACTCCTCTCTTTTTCAATTATTAGTTTTATTTACGACTAATGTATAATGTGCGTATTATATTTGTGATTTTGGCAGTATAATGACATATGTTATTCCTCCAGGGATTAATGACGAGTAGCGGGATTATTGGTCATTATTCCACAAAAGTGTCAGTGTCAAACGTGTAGTGCTTGTGGATTTGTATTGAAAATTATGAGACGGATGAAATTTGTTCATTGAAAATCTCAAATAAATTAATTTGTCGTAAATAAAGTAGAGTATACTACTCGCAATAATGGTTATTATTCCCTCGGAATGTTACTCCCTCGCCGCTAACGCGGCTCAGTTCGTAATAATCCTCGGGAATAATAGCTATCATTATTGACTCGTGGTATAATCTACTAATAATATTACTATGCAGGATTTTAATAACTTGACTTCCTTTAAAGAAATTGAAAATAAATCTGGAATGCATATCATTTTCCTAAATACGACCCTATCGTTTATCCCAGCTGGAGGAATGAAAACGCTTACGCATGCTGGCAACCTAAAGAAAAAAAATACTAGATATGTCAACGCGAACTGTCAACTTCACTTTCTATCGTGATTACGACTATAATACTTAATCATTGAAAGAGCAATTTATATTTTCTAACAATAGAATAAAATACAAAAGAAAATTTAAAAAAGTAGGTAATATTTATGTTTAAATCTTGATATTCTGGCGGCCTCGAGAAAATTAATTTATTTTAACTACGTGTAATATTTTATAAAGTTTTATATTGTTTGTGACCCTTCCCGTGTACTACGAAAGCGTAGAGCTGCCATGCTAATATTAAAAAATATTTTTATAAAAATTTACACTTTTTCTGTAAATTTACACTTTTTCTGTAAGTTGACACTTTTTCTGTAAATTCAGTTAATAGTAAGGGTTAGTTTGGGTTAGCTTGCAATTTTAATCAGAGATCACCAAACTTACCGATAATAACCCGGCGAGTTTGCAGCTTTAACATTAATAAATTTTCAACGATAATAACCCGGTTAGTTTGCCTTAGTTTGCGATTTTAATCAAACATTACCATTATGTTTTCCAAATTATTGATTTTCGAATTAAGTATTAATTTTCGAAAAATATATTTTCAAAATTATTGAATTTTGAAAGAAAAGATTCGAAATAAGCGTTTTCGAAAAGGTTTATTTTCGAAATAACAGCATTCGGCAAAAAATCGAAATTTGTATTCTCGAAAATTGAACATGCATACAGGACTGATAAAAATTGCAAACTTATCCGAACTAATCAGGTTATTGTTATTGTTGTTGGTAATGTCAGACTCTAAATTGCAAAATAACCCAAACTAACCAGGTTATTATCGGTAAGTTTGGAAATGTTTAATTAAAATTGCAAAGTTACCAAAACTTACCGGGTTATTATCGGTAAATTTGGTAATGCCTTCTTAAAACTGCCAACTAACACAAACTACCCAGGTTATGATTGGTACATTTGGTAATGCATTTTTAAAACTGTAAACTAATGGGGTTATTATCCGCGAGTTGTCAGTAACCCAAACTAACCAGGTTGTTATTGGTAAGATTGGATATATGCCTGATTAAAATTACAAACTAACTTAAACTAACCGGGTTATTATCGGTAAGTCTGTAATGTCCGTCATTTTTAATCTGACACTTTCCGTATGAAGAGCGAGGAGGTGAAGATTATAGCAAAAACAGGTGTAACGTCGGGTGACCAGATCTGTAATTCTCGTCGTGTCGTTATGCTCTTTATTATCGTCGTCGCTGTCCCTTTAAAATTTTAACTTCTGTGTTGGAGCCTTACAAGTGAGTAGGAAGAAAGCATTTATAAAAAAATCTAACCCACTTATTTATTGTACAACTGCTCTATTATGAGTTTCTTCTTCGCTCGCTCGCTTCTGTGACCCTTCCCGTGTACAGATCTGTAATTCTCGTCGTGTCGTTATGCTCTTTATTCTCGTCGTCGCTGTCCCTTTAAAATTTTAACTTCTGTGTTGGAGCCTTACAAGTGAGTAGGAAGAAAGCATTTTTAAAAAAATGTAACCCACTTATTTATTGTACAACTGCTCTATTATGAGTTTTTTCTTCGCTCGCTCGCTTGCAGGTAGTACTGATAATGGCGAAAGTCGAAAGCGCTCTACTACGCCGATTTTCAATAAACAAAATTTGCATGAAATACACTTTCTTTCTTTCCTTATTGAATATATCTTTGAGTTATTAGTGGATGGTTAAATATTTGTTTCTCCGAATCATCCATTTAAATTTTAGCCAATAACGGACATAAAGGATTATCCATTGTCAAACCCTTATGAGAAGCGTAAAAACTATTGTTAAATTCAAAATAATTTTGATTCAAGCAAACATAGATAGTATCTAATATATTTTGTTTATTAATTACTAGCTAATGACCCGCTGCGTTGCCAGCATGTAAATACATTTTGAAATAATACACTTCTTTTCAAATTTTCTTGTTGATTTTCTATTTAATTTTTTTTTTAAATCCGATATCATAGTCGCTTGCCAGTGAGTTCAGTGACGCATTTTAAACACTCCAGAGCTGCTCTAGAGCGCCCCGAGCTGTTTATAGGCGTTCCAGTGTATCAGAGTTTAACGCAACCGAACTTTTTTTTTTTCGGAATAAAAAATAGCCTATATCACTCTCCTCTAAAGCCGATTCGATTGACCGGATTAGATCGATCTGGTTCAATTTAAGTGAACCACACTGTGTTCGATTCAAGCTGGATCAGTGCACCCTCATCAACAAAAAAATGATCTAGATCAGAAGAAGTTCACTTAAATTGAGCCCAAATCGATCTAATCTGGGTCAATCGAATTCACCTTATATAGAGATACGTGGTATTAATTCAATATCGGTCCAGCCGTTGTAGAATTCAAAAATAATAAAGTTACGTCGGTTGAATGCAAGCCTAAATAAATGAAATATGGCAACGTTGTTTCATGCTGTCAAAAAAAGTTGGGTTATGTTGTTATGTAATGTGAATGAGTTTGTTTTCAATTAAATTAATAATTAATTCAAAATTAATTTCTTTTTCCGAGATGCGTAACCTATCCACAAACCTTCCTTGGGATGGCCATAACAACCTACCAAAGTTTCATCGTAATCGGATAAGTGGTTTTGGAGCGCATATCCGGATACCCCGTGAACTTTGATTTTTATATATATAGATTTTAACTTTATCTATTGTTAAAAGAGTGTCTTGATAAACTCGATTACTCCATTAGGTGGAACACTGGGAAACAAATTTTCAACGTCAAAAGATAATCATTTATAATTTTTTGGAATTTTACTTGTTTAATTTTGTCAATAAGTTCATATGAATTTTTGGCTAAATTTGGGAGAAAAAATACAGTAGTGTGACAAGATGTTTATCAATGTTTTATTGAAGGAGCATTAATATAGAATACCACCGGTCTATCAGGTTGACCGAATTTGTGTAATTTTATCAAAGAATTGAGATAAGGTGCTTGAGGATTCATTTTGTTCTTCAAAAACAATAAAATTGAAAGTTCTCTGATAGTCATCCTAATCATCTTTTAGTAATGGTTTTTTGGATGAAAAATTATTTTCTAAACATTCTTGGGTCTATGAATTCTGAAGTTTTCTGAACATATTGGTCTTTAGGTAAGGCTACAACAGAGTTTCCCTTATCTGCTTTGGTAAAGATGATGTTATTATTATTATTATTTTTTTGAATTAATTTGACAACGTTAATCCCTCTAAATAAATGGCTTGATGGTTATTCTGATGAATGTTTTTTAATAATTTGAGAAACCAAATGTGGGCGAGTTCGATTAAAACATGACACTGTTGACAGAAGCTGACGTGATCTTTTATTTGAACGGAGGATCATACAATATGGTATGGGGTTTATTTAATCTTCTAGGGAATTTACTCAAGTTATCTGGTGTGGTGAGATTTAAATATTGACAATGCATTCAATAAAAATATGACATTTGATATCTCTAAAAATATAAGGTTCAAAATAACATAAGCTCAAGTACTTGTTAGCTTGGCTGTTAGAATACTGGACTTGGTATGGTAATAGATGATTCATATGTAGATGATGATGGCCACTGTCGTACATCATTCGTATCATCTGTACGAATATTGTACGACAGTGGCTCTAATAATGAATGATAAATGGTGTCCAAGAAAAAAACAAGTCCACTTTGTTCAAAGATTCGAGAGGGGATAATCGTGATCACTCAGTGGTGAATGAGATTTTACATTAGGACTTTGGCTTTAAATATCAATAAAATACTCCTTTTTTTATTAAACATATACATCTTTGGAGTATCCTTATCGATAATTTTATAGATAATAGGTAAGTTGCTTGAGGTATCAGATCCATTTTTCCAAGATGTCTTCCATTTCTCAAACGCAATTTCGCCAGCAAATAATTCATTGTTTGCTGTCCATACAATTTTGAGTTGGTAAATAGTGAGACATAAATATCAATTTTTACTCCTCATTTCAATCTTAAAACAATTTTATCAATTCCCATCGCCCAGATTAATTTGTCGGTGGGCTTCCGATCATCACCAAAACTCTGACCATAAATTGTTTATATGAGGTCGATTATGTATATTTGGAATAGTTATTTATTCGACTTGTTCGATGTGTATTAAGGTACGATTCCGAAAGCGACTACAGCGACGAACCGCAACTGCAGACCGCCGACGACAACCCCAAATTAGTTGCCGCTTGCGGTTGATTTGATTCCGAAAGCATCCGCAGCAGCCAACCACTTCTTCAATTCAGTCTATATATAACCAGAGAAAATGTCTGATGTGTTTGACCCTCGGGATATTTTCAGCATTCTATGGGAAGAAGAAGACGACGACGACCTTTTGTTGTTACATTATTCCAGAAAAAGAAGAAAGCATACGATACCATTATTTAAAACTAGAAAAACGGAAGGCAGTTATCCAGTGCTGATTAGAAATTATTTGTTTGAATATTTGGCCACGAGATTAATAAGTTTTTCTTCTTCCGCATCTGAAAAACTCATTTTCACCTATTTCAACAATCTGCAGTCGAGCCAACTACACTACTGGTACTGGTTCAAGAGCGGTAGTGCGGTAGTGCGGTCTGCGGTGGCGGCATGTCGCCGCGGCAGGCAACAGTGGCGATGTGTTTCGAATATGTTTCACTCGATTTTGTATTAACCAGTAGTGCCTGCGGTCGCGGTCTGCAGCCTGCGGTCGATACCATTATTCGAAACTAGAAAAACGGAAGGCAGTTATTCAGTGCTGATCAATAAGTTTTTCCTCTTCGGCATCCGAAAAACTCATTTTCCTAACCACGTGTTAACGATATGCAGTCGAGCCAACTACACTACTCATACTGGTTCAAGAGCGGTAGTGCGGTTCGCAGTGGCGGCATGTCGCCGCGGTAGGCAACAGTGGCGATGTGTTTCGAATAAGTTTCATTTGATTTTTTATTAACCAGTAGTGCCTGCGGTTGCGGTCTGCAGCGATGTTCAGAATCGTACCTACTTATTTCAGAAGTTCTTTGGTTGAATAAAGATTTTAGATTCAATGCCATTTTTTTTTATAAACTAACATTAACTATGACTTAAAACTACTACATATTTGATAAAATAATAATAAAAAATCTTCACAAAAAATGGATGGTCGTTTACTGATCGACGCTTACAAACACTATCGCTGAAATTGACACGACGAATGGTGCTTTTGTGCCCTCTGGAAAAATAATCCACGGCAAATAATGGGGAACGTAAAAGCCGATAAGGGTCGTGAAATACGTTTCGTTGTCGATAAAACAAGAATGTATTATTCAGTTATCATTTCATTCCTCTAGCATAAATAATTATCCCCGGATAAAAACTCGGATTTGCAAACTTGAATCCTGATGATTATGCATGAGACACCACACAAACAAAACTAGTTGACATTTTATATCCTTATTTCGCATAAAAGAAATCCCTTGATAATCTTATTAGCATATTATCGCTAGCAAGAATAGAGGTTTTTTGTCAATACGGCGTTTCGTGCTGTGACATCTATTTCTGATGAAAAATAATGTCGCGTTTTTCATTCCGACAATGACTTCAATTTGGTTTCGCAAACAGAAGAAATTGCAAATTTGCTACCAAAGTTCAATTACTTCCTCGCTTTAGTCGAGCGCTAAACGAATTTAAAATGTATTCTAAACACTTTAGCTAAATAAGTCTTAAATTTTTGATGGACTTCCGGGGGCTGAACGTTTAAATTGGTTTGGGCAAAGAATATGTTTGGGTTATGAGATAACGCCTGACATTTTTTTATTAATTGAAAATCTATATTTACAGGAAATAAGTAGGTAAGCAAAATTCCTTCAACCCATTTATTACTTAATAGTTCAGTTTGCTTTTGATGGATTATCGGACCACTAATTTGTCATCATTGTCATTGATGCAGTTTTCAGGGATTTTCCTTTTCATTTGATGGTGATCATTTGTGCATTCACTGAGCAAATAGAACATAATATAAGTATATAGACATGTTCTCATGATGTAGCTTTATTACTCGGATAATATAATCCCAGGAGAAACTTTTGCACAGACTTTTGCTTAGGTATTTGATCAAAAATAAATAAATTCTTATTCAAACATTGTATAATTGAAGATTGGTATTCGACTCTATCTTTGTTTGCCCAGACACAACTTTTAATTTCCCTTGATGACACTAATAAAATTACCACACCGATTTAGTTACATAACTCTTTTAATTGAATCCACATTGGTTCTTTTCTGATAAAAGCAAATCTATATATTATGTAGGTACTTGTTCATCAAATATTGCATATTCCAACTGATGATTTTTGTTTAACGAAATGGAACAAAAAGCGAATAATAATTGTCGGGGGTTTTCGGCAGGAACGCCAGGGAGAAATATGAAATGATTATCTTTTCCAATTTTATTCGAATTGACATCGCCTACTTATTTCGAATAATTTCTCAACAAATATTTGAATAGAATATTCACTTGGCTTTTGAAAAAAAAACTGACATTGCCAGAAACGATTGTGATTATATTGGTAATACATAAATCGATTGAGATGAGGTAGGACATTTGATTTGATTAAACCTAAATATAAATTTCGAATAATAGGTAACAAAAGTTGACATTACATTTTTCATCAATCAACAATGTTTCGTTAACAGCAAATAATTAGATCAGAAAGCGAGCTTGCGTTTCATAGGAGCCTCTAGAAAAATACAAAGCATCAAGATATATAGTTATTGAAATAGAAAGCGAACTTTTATTTGTTTGGCGTAGGTAATAAAGGTTCACTGCTTTCATGAGAAGCTCTTATAAGGAAACAAATATTTGGAGCTTTGCAATTCCAAAATAACTATAACATTCAATTTCTTCTGTGAAGTCAACATAAAGATGAATTTAATAAGAATAAAGCTTGTATCACGGTACTGCAAAACTGCCACTGCATATGGAATTGATAAAATTCTCCAGAACATTTTATAGGTGCAATCAACCAATGAGTTTCAAACAATACCTAAGTTACTGTATTTTTCTACAATTTGAACATATGAAAATATGTGAAGAAAAAGGCATTGCTTCACAGATAAGAAGTCTCTAAAACAAAACTATATAAATTTTGGACTTGGCTATTTTGGCAATCAACATAGTGTACTCATTGAATTATTTATCAGGCTCCTATCAATGTGGTTGGCACTTGATAATTATTGTTAAATGGAAGTTGAATTTATCACTATGCCAGTAATTTTCGATTGAACCCCGATTATTCGATTTATACCACTATTTTGATTGACATTAGAAAATAACTGCTACCCTGTACGGTTTATGATTTTTGCTCGCTTCCGCTTCTTGACACCGGTAAGTTGAAGCATATTTGTTTGCGAAGCAATTTTTCAAAATCTGCAGGAGGCAGATGCGGGCCCAAGCGTATTTCTCTCCGAAGTGCATATTAAAGTTTTTTCTATACAAATATATTTCAAGCGAAATGTACACCATATTTCATGAGTTATAGATTCCAAAAACGTAATATATCAGATTGATCTAGGCGGAGAGTTTTTAGTCTGGTCATTAAAAACTTTTGCTTGGTTTTCAATAAGGAAAACAATAAAGCATATTCGAAAAAGGGCAATCTTTATAAAAAACAGAAATATGGCCCCGATTGACTTTGTCTTTCAATCCCTTTTCAATGTCGATCACCAAGTAGTTTTACTTCCGTTATAACTGGAATAGAATGAATATTCGAAATGTTCCACCTTTTTATTGAACCATTAGAAAATAAATCCGTTAAAACCAATAAATTTTTAGCGGTGTCTCTCGCGCCTCTCGAAACTGACAAGATTCAAAACTCGAAAAATAATTGATAAGCGCGGCTGGTAACATCAATCACTGCAAAAGCGTTTAATTTCACTGAGCTTTGATTAATTCCTCTAATAATTATTATTTCCAGTTCACTTGGTGAACACGTTTCCAGATTTTCTTCTTGTTTCAATAATCCACCGTGGATATTTTAAATTTGTTTTTGAATTGAACCTGGAAAAATACTATTAACGTAACGTAGAGATTGAAGCAATATTTAATTAATTTATCCCCGATAAAAGCGCGCCACCTTCACTCTGATTAATATTTCAAAGATCCGACTTTGAATTAAACCGGATTAAATTCACGTCCTCCCTGCACAAGTTTTCTTCCTCATTAAGATTAAGAAAGCGTAGATTAGACCCAGATCCATCGACCAGGAAGTTCTAATGAAAATGTTCCAAAAAATGGCTTGTTCTCATTAAGCCGTATATCCCACCGATTATAAATCACACGCGCCGTCTAAAATATGCGGAATCATATTCAGCGGAGGGATAATTTCAGAGGAAGCGTTTCAGGAAATAATTTTGCCTCCTTTGTGCAAGTGCAATTTCGAAAAAGCTAAAATACCTACTCATTATCTGAATAATAGCTCTGAAACATAATAATTTGATTGCCGCCTCCAATGAATGCTACTCTGGAAATCCTAACTGGTTTGATGATAATAACAATGTTGCATCAACTGATTTTTAAAGAAAACTCCAAAAACTTTCTCATTTATTATTTATTTGACGAAATTCTTCGCATTTCTTATTGTTTCTGACTTTTTGCACTGGTACAACAACAGAAATTTTTCATAGGTCAGGAGCTTCACTTAGTTTAATAGATGTATCTATGA